CTTTATCGCTGTCAGCGGGAAAGGAGAGGGAGAGAGAGAGAATCGTGGATCGGCTGCCTCCTGCAGGCCCCCCACTGAGGATCGAGCCCACAGTCCAGGCCCGATCCCTGGACCCTTCAGTCCTCAGGCCTACGCTCTGTCCACTGAGCCACACCGGCCAGGGCTGAATACACTTACTTTTAATAAATATTCACCTCGGCGTGGACGTGTGGATTCCTATTTTATTCCCTGGTTGTGTTCAATGTGTTTGGATTTCCCCTGGGCCCTGGGGGGGGGGGGGGGCGCGCTCAGGGCTCCGTGCCCTTTGACCTGCCTGCCCTGTGGTGAGCCCTCGGTCCCTCCTGGTCCTGGACCCGCCATTTCCCTAAAGCCCTCTGGTTCCTCTCTTTTCTTTTTTGTTTTTTAAATCCTCACTAGACGGTATGTTGTTTAAAAAAACCAAACCAAACAATACTGATTTGAAAGAGAGGGAGGAAGAGAGAGAGAGAGAGAGAGAGAGAGAGAGAGAGAGAGAGAGAGGGAGAGAAAAGCATTGAAGCATCAATCGGCCTCAGCCTCTGTGTTCCCTGACTGGGAATCGACGCCCGGCCAGCTGAGCCGGTTCCTTCCAGCAGAGCCGCCCTCTGGGCGCTCACCGCGGGGGCCGGGGGGGGCTGCCTCGGGGTGGGGGGCCTCTCTCTGGACACAGCTCCCCCGGGTGGAGGCTGGTACCACATCCTCATCCGCAGCTGCTCCTTTGCTCATAAACGCCGAAGCGAGTTCACAGCGAATTCCAGCCCAGAACCACAGGGTCCCGCACGGTCCCGGGTGCGAATTCCCCCCTCGGCCCCGACGCTCCTCACCGAGCTGTGCCCCCGCTGCCCTCTCCCTGCTCCCGGCACTGGGCCCCCGCTGTGCCCAGGTCCCAGCTCCCTGGGCAGGAGGGTGCAGGCCGCGCGCACACACACACACACACACACACACACACACCTGCTGGCCGGGCCTGCCTCCTCCGGCCCCGCCCCCTCACAAGTCAGCCGTCTGCCCATCTCCGGCTGAGGTTGGCTTTGGTGGAAACAGACGGAGACAAAGGTCTTTTCTAAGCTGTTACACAGTCACGTTACCCGAGAACAGTTATTCAGATTTAAAGTTTTAAGACAATGTCTTTTTTTAAAAAAAATATGTCTTTATTGATTTCAGAGAGGAAGGGAGACGGAGAGATGGAAACATCCATGATGAGAGAGAATCAAGGACCGGCTGCCTCCGGCACACCCGCCAGTGAGAATCAAGCCCGCAACCTGGGCCTGTGCTGTGACCAGAATCGAACCCTGACCTCCTGGGTCATAGGTCAACGCTCACCGGCTGAGCCGTGCCGGCCGAGCTTAAGACAGCGTCTCAGCAGGTTCCTGACGATGGTGGTGTGTGCCCGGCTGTGCCCAGGGTCTCCTCTACGCCTCGAGGTGCAGGGAGCAGGGGCAGGCGGGAGCCGGAGGCTGGAGCGCCCGCCGGGGGGACCCTCCGAGCAGCCTGCGGGTCCGGGCCCCTGAGCTCCTGCCGCACCCTCCTCTCTCGGCCCCTGCCCCCGAAGCTGCCTCCGGCCTGCAGGACCCATCCTGTGCCTGCCGCCCGGGAGGAGGAGAGAAGCTGGCTGGTCCCAGACCCCGGCTCACACCTGCGGGGGCTGAGCAGCGAGTGGACACGCATGACCAGCTGCCCACACCCATCTGCCAGGCAAGGGCCTGGTCCCTGCCTCAGCCCCCACGCGGCTGTCTGTGCCTGGGCCCTGACCCTCCACCTGCCGGCATGGTGCCTGGTCCATGGTCCTGAGACCCTGGGAGGAGTGGGCTGCTGGGGGGGGAGGGGATCAGCAGGTGGGAGCGCCCCCACCAGGCTCAGGGCAGACGGGGCCTGGCTGGCTCCATGAGGGCACGCGGCCCTGGTGCTGGCCGGTGGGAGGGCTTGGCTCCTTCAGAAGCTCCAACACCTTAGGGAGGGGGCCTCCACTCCCACGGGGAGCAGAAGGTTCTGAGAGCAGCCCCCCGCCCCCCATCCTGCATCTGAGGGCCTTTCACACCTGCCCCTGACCCCCTCACACCCGCTGGCTTCCCTCTGGACCTTGTGGCTGCGCTCCCTGCGGCCCCTTCCCAGAGCCCTGCAAAGCCGGGGCACGGAGGGATGGGCAGCAGGAGGCAGCACAGCCCGCTGCGGGTGGGCAGTGCCCAGCGGCCACAGGGCAGGAGGAAGCCCTTCCTGCCAGCCGCTGTGGCACAGTCTGTGCAGACGCCCTCCTGCAGGGACAGGCTGCCCGCCTCCAGGGCTCCTGTCCACGGGGAAGGGACTGACACTCTCAGGTGCAACACGAGTGCTTCTGGGCCCAGAGGGCGATTTCTGAAAAGTCCCTTTTCTTTGGCTTTCATGGACTGTTATTGTTTTGTTATGTTTTTTATTTTTTAGAGAGAGAGGAAGGGAGAGGGATAGAGAGATAGAAACATCGATGAGCCAAGACCAGTTTGGCTCAATGGATAGAGTGTCGGCTTGGGGACTGAAGAGTCCCGGGTTCGATTCGGTCAAGGGCATGTACCTTGGTTGCGGGCATATCCCCAGTAGGGGGTGTGCAAGAGGCAGCTGATCGATGACTCTCTCTCATCGATGTTTCTAACTCTCTCTCTCCCTTCCTCTCTGTACAAAATCAAAATATATATTAAAAATAATAATAATAAAAAAAAATTGATGAGAGAGAAACATCACTGATTGGCTACCTCCGGCTCGGCTCCTGTCCCCCCCCACTCCCAGCGATGGAGCCTGCATGTGCCCTGACGGGAATGGAACCGTGACCTCCTGGTTCTTAGGTCGATGCTCAACCGCTGAGCCCCGCCGGCCCCTGTTCTGACCTCATATTCGCACCCGGAGAAGTCGTGGGAGTGAGGACAGGGTGGATTGTCCCCGGGCACAGGTTTTTCGGGGGATGGGGGTGGGGTGGGATGGGGAGGGGCTCACGTCCACGGTGGGGAGCAGTCTGGTTTTCAAACATGGAGCCCTAAACCCTGAACCTCAGCTCCTCCCGGGTGCCTGCCTGGGTCTGAGGCTGGGAAGGTATGTGGTCATGGTCCGCCCGCCCAAGCTACCTGCCTCTCCAGAGACCTGCCTGCACCTCCGGATCTGCAGAGATGCCCGGCCAGCGACCTGGGCAGGCGCTGCCCCCAGCAGCACTGGCTGGGGGTCAGTGCCAGTCTCCACTGGGGAGGTGGGAGCAGTAGGTGACTCGCTCAAGGCCCCCCAAGCTGAAGTGGGTGCGGTCCCGGGGCCGCTGCCCAGCACGGCGGGCGACCCAGGCCCCCCAATGCCCAGGCGGGTGTGGGTGCCCTCAGGGTGTGGAGGAAAAGGTGCTCCCATCCTCACTCAGGTTGAAAACAGCCAGGACTGCTCCCGACTTCAAGTCCCCACCCCAGGCCTTCTTTGGGGGCCACCCTGCCCAAGGTCCCTAGTTCTTTGCCCTCAGGTGCTTTGTCTGCCCAGGACACAGCCAGTGTGGGGGACGGGCCATACGGGGAGGGGGCTGCAGACGTGGCTCTCCGGCCTGGGAGGCTGCAGGCTAAGGGTACGCAGGGTCCCCATTCCCGAGGACCGCCCCCTAGGCCTGGCCCTGGCCACAGGCCCCTGGGTGCAGGGCCATCCGTCCCAGGCACAGCCCGTGCCCCTGGAGCCCGCTGTCCTACGTGGGGACAGCTGGGAGCCCAAGCTGCTGGCTAGCGGTCCTGCTGGCCGTGCGGGCCACCACGGTGCAGGGTCCTGAGGTGGTGGGTGTTGCTCGGGCACATCCCTGGGGTTGGGGGGGTGAATGCAGCCCTGGCCAGAAGGGGGAGGGGGTGTCCTGGGACGTGTTGAGGGGTGCGTCTCCTGCGTGGGGCCTCGGGGTGTTTCTACCCTAACGTGTTAATGACCCTTTTGTTCCGTGGCGTCCTTGTCCTATGTCGGACCCTGGGTCCTACCGCGCGGGGTTCCGTCATGGGGGAAGCGTGTTCGTAGGGAGCGGGGCTGTGCGGTGTGTTGCAACCCCGTCATGGAAGGGGTCGCGGGGCGTGCGGTGGGGCCGCGCGGTCCCGTCCCGCCCGCTTCCCCGCTGGTTTGCGGTTGTGGCGGGGCCGCAAGTGGGTTCCTGGGCCCCGGCGTCGGCGACGGGACCGGAGCCCTCCCAGCCGCGCAGGAAGCGGCCTCGGCCGGAAAGGGGGCCCCCGGCGCCGCCGCCGCCCCCGCAGAGCGGCCTTCCGGAGGGCGGGGCCGAGCGGAGCCGAGCTGGGCCGAGTCCCAGGTGGGCGGGGCCTAGAGGAGCCGAGCGGGGCCGAGTCCCAGGTGGGCGGGGCCTAGAGGAGCCGAGCGGGGCCGAGCCCCAGGTGGGCGGGGCCTAGAGGAGCCGAGCGGGGCCGAGCCCCAGGTGGGCGGGGCCGAGCAGGGCCGAGTGCCTGGCGGACGGGGCCGAGTGTCAGGCGGACAGGCCCGAGCGCGGCCGAGCGCGGCCGAGCGGCCCGGCGCGGGCGGGGGAGCGCGCGTTCCTGGAAGAGCCGCCGCGGGGCGGTCGCATTCCTGGCCGGCGCTCGGCTGAGGCGGACGCGCGGCGCGGACGGCGCGCGGGGCGGGGCGGCGGCGCGGCGCGGGGCGGGGCGCGGGGCGGGGCGGCGTGAGCTCAACGCCGGGCGCTCAGTCCGAGCCGGAGCGAGCCGCCGGGAGGATGTACGCCGATCCCCGCGCCGCCGCCGCCGCCGCCGCCGTGCTTTGAGGCCGCCTCACAGGCGCTCCGCCGCCCCGGAGGCCGCGCTCGCGGGGGGCGGCCGGCGGGCGGGCCGCGGAGCCGGCGCGGGCGGCGGGGTGGGCGCGGGCAGGGCCGGGCCGGGGCGGCCGGCGGCGGGCGCGACGCGGCCGGCCAGCGCCGCCGGGACGAGCCGGGCGGGCGCCGCGCGGTGGGAGGAGCGGGGCGGCGGCGCGCCGCGCGAGGACGGCCCGGCGGGCCCCGCGCCCGCGCCCCCGCTCCTCCCGGGCCCCGCGGCCTCGGCCACCGCGGCGATTCGCGCCTCGCGGCGCCGGCACCTGCCCGCGCGCCCCCCGCGTACCCCGGGCCCGCGAGCGTTGGCGTTGGCGTTGGCGGCGCGCGCGGGGGCATGCCCCGCGCCTAGGGCCCGGGGGGCGCGCGGGGGGCGCGCGGGGGGCCCGGGCGGCGGGCGCGGCGCGGGGCGCGTGGATGTGGCGCCGGGCCCGGGCGGCGGCGGGCTGCAGCGGCGGGACCCCTTCGCCCCGCCCGCCTTCCCCTTCGCGCCCCCGGGCGAGGCCGAGGCCTGCGGCCGTGATCGTCCGGGAGCCGGCGGCGGGGGGCGGCCGGGGCCGGGGCCGGGGCCGCCGCCGGGGCGCGCGGGGCGGCGGCGGCGGCGGCCGCGGGGGCCCCGGCGCGCGGGACCGGGAGCGGCCCGCGGAGCCGGAGCGCGCCATGGAGGCGGCGGCGGGAGGGCGCGGCGGCTTCCAGCCGCACCCGGGGCTGCAGAAGACGCTGGAGCAGTTCCACCTGAGCTCCATGAGCTCGCTGGGCGGCCCGGCGGCCTTCTCGGCGCGCTGGGCGCAGGAGGCCTACAAGAAGGAGAGCGCCAAGGAGGCGGGCGCGGCCGCCGTGTCCGCCCCGCTGCCCGCCGCCGCCGCCGAGCCGCCGCCCGTGCTGCACCTGCCCGCCATCCAGCCGCCGCCGCCCGTGCTGCCCGGGCCCTTCTTCATGCCGTCCGACCGCTCCACCGAGCGCTGCGAGACCGTGCTGGAGGGCGAGACCATCTCGTGCTTCGTGGTGGGCGGCGAGAAGCGCCTGTGCCTGCCGCAGATCCTCAACTCGGTGCTGCGCGACTTCTCGCTGCAGCAGATCAACTCCGTGTGCGACGAGCTGCACATCTACTGCTCGCGCTGCACGGCCGACCAGCTGGAGATCCTGAAAGTCATGGGCATCCTGCCCTTCTCGGCGCCCTCGTGCGGGCTCATCACCAAGACGGACGCCGAGCGCCTGTGCAACGCGCTGCTCTACGGCGGCGCCTACCCGCCGCCCTGCAAGAAGGAGCTGGCGGCCGGCCTGGCGCTGGGCCTGGAGCTGCGCGAGCGCAGCCTGCGCGTGTACCACGAGTGCTTCGGCAAGTGCAAGGGGCTGCTGGTGCCCGAGCTCTACAGCAGCCCGAGTGCCGCCTGCATCCAGTGCCTCGACTGCCGCCTCATGTACCCGCCGCACAAGTTCGTGGTGCACTCGCACAAGGCGCTGGAGAACCGGACTTGCCACTGGGGCTTCGACTCGGCCAACTGGCGGGCCTACATCCTGCTGAGCCAGGACTACACGGGCAAGGAGGAGCAGGCGCGCCTGGGCCGCTGCCTGGACGACGTGAAGGAGAAGTTCGACTACGGCAACAAGTACAAGCGGAGGGTGCCCCTGGTGAGTGTCCCCGCCGGCCGGGGGAGGGAGGGAGGGAGCGGGCGGGCGGGCGGGGTGGGGCCGGGCCGGGCCGGGCGAGGGTGGGGGCCTCCCGGGCAGGGGCCCTGCCTCTGCAGGCTGAGACCTGCTTTGCGCTGCCTCCCCCACGGCGCAGGGTTTTGCTTTGTTTGAAGGAGAGTCAGGTTAGCTTTGGAGTCCCCGGATGGCCCTGTGGCTGGGGGGGCGGCCTCCTCCTGCCTGAGCCCTAGGGCTGGCCGGCCGGCCTGGCCTGGCCTGGCCCGGTGGGGGGAGAAGCCCTCCGGCCGCGCAGCTGCCCAGAAAGGCGGGGCAGGGCAGGCCTCGGGCCTCGGGACGCTCCTGCCCAGGGTCCTGGGAAGTGAGACCTAGGCCGGGCCCAGCGGGAGCCTTACCAGGCCTGCCTTCCTCTGGGCACCCCGGGAAGTGTCCAGACCAGGTGGGGGCAAAGGGCACTGCCGTCAGCACGGAGCTCCCAGACCTGCAGACCGAGGGGTGCCTGCCCGCAGCTCCCGCGGACAGACTTGGCCAGGCCGAGCCTCTGTGTGTGCCTGGAAGTCCCGGGGAAACTGGAAGGCAGAGCTGTGTCCTGGCACCCTGGCAGGGGGCCGAGACTTGGGGACTCCAGCTCTGTGTCTCCCGGGCCTTCCAGGGAGGGAGCCCAGAGTCCGTGTGCGGGCAGCGGGCACCGGGCACCCAGGCGGGAGCTCGAGAGGCCTGTGGCTTGCAGTCTGTTTTGGAGGCGCCCACGTCCCTCTGTCTTGGCCTGGAGGACAGGGAGGGCAGGCAGGCCAGGCGGTGCCGGTGTGTGCCTGGCCCCTCCCGGTACTGCCGGACACTGGACGAGACACTGAGGTCCTCACCAGCTTCCCTTGGCGTCGCCCCCTCCCCACGAATCTGCAACTTTCCTTTTGCATTTCCAGGCTTATTAAAGCTGCACAGAATGCTGCCCTGGCTCAGCTATTCTGGGAGGCTAATTAATTCAGCTATTGCATCAAACTTCTTTTTCTGAATCTGTGAATAGAGCTCCCGCCCGATTTTCTCTGGGCGCCCCTCCAGCGGAGTGTCAGTCTTGGGAGCGGAGGAGGGGCTGGGAATGAGGGCCTGTCGCCTGTGCTCGGAAGGGGCGCCGCATGTGTGTGTGTGCATGTGTGCGTGCGTGTACTCGCCTGTGTGCGTTCGCCTGTGCATGTGTGCTTGCCTGTGTGCATGTGCGTGTGTGCTCGCCTGTGCATGTGTGTGTGCGTGTACTTGCCTGTGTGTGTGCGCCTCTGTGTGTGTGTGTGTGTGTGTGTGAGCTTCTGCCCTGGCTAGCCCAGTGCCCAGGTGGCAGCTGTGTGCAGACCGTGGTTTGCCGTGGGGCAGCGGGTGCGCCGGGGGTGCTGGTGGAAGGCTGCCGGCAGGGCCCTTCGTTTGAGGTGGACTTGGCTCTCGGAGGCATGCTGGGCCCTCCCTGGACCTGGGAGCCTTCCCAGTTGGGGTGGCTGCACCCTGGACAGCCAGCGTGGCCTGAGGGGCCCGTGTGGGGGACGGGTGGGTCCTGGCCGCCTGGAGCTGGCGGGCGAGGCCGTGGCAGGCCCTCACCTTCAGCGCGGACAGCAGAGGGTGTTGTCTGGCAGGGCGTGTCTGCTCCGTGTTTGTGTCCGAATCTGGGTCATGTGTGTGTTTGCGGTCTCCTGCCGGCCTGGTGTTGCCTCTGTCGCCGCCGCCGCGGCCGGCCTGGCGCCCGCAGCAGCCCTGCACCCGTGCGGGCTGTGTCCTTAGGCGGGGAGGGCACGGCCGGGGGAGAGGGCACAGACCGCGGTCGGAGCTCACTTTCACTCCGGCCACCGCGGCAGATGGTCAGCACTGCCCCTTCAGAGCCGCTCGGAAACCGCGTGGACGGGCTTAAGACATTTCCCAAGCGGTGGGCCTCCAGGCCTCAGGGCAGCCCAGCCCCGTCCTCACCGTGGCCTGGGCCCCAGGTCTGTCCCGTCTGCCGGCTGCAGCTCCAGGGCTCCTGCCCGCCCTCCTGCTGCCCCCCCACACCCACCCCTACCCCGCCTCTGGGCTCTTCCTGCCAGCCTGGCCCCTCCCCTGCTGCCTTGGCTCTGATAGCACCATGGAGGCTTGGGGTGTGTGGTCCCCTTTAAATCTCCCCAGCACAGCCGTGTGCTCGTGTCTACACGCCAGAGGCACCACGTGAGGGGAGGGTCCCGGCCTCGGGCTGGGGGACACACAGCTGCCCAGGCTGTTTGCTCTGGAAGCAGCCGCTGGGGAGACCCCTCCCAGCGCCGCCCGCTCCTCCCGCTGCCTCTGGACGGGCGTCCATGGCCGCGTGGATGCCTCCACGTCCTTTGTAGCTCGTTGTGATGTTTCTGATGCGCCGAGGACGGCGGGAGGCACAAAGCGGGGCTGGCGCGGCTCTCTGGGCCCGGCTCCCCTGGCGGAGGCTCTGCGGGGAGGAAGTGCGTCCCGGGTGTTAGCGGCCGAGGTGTCGCCGGGCCTGCCAGACGGACGCTGGGTCTCGCTTCTGTGCCTGGGCGGTGTCCCCAGGCCCCGTCGCCTGCGCGCCCCTCGCCGCGGCCCAGCCGGGGGCCGGCGGTTCCTGTGGTTGCCGGGCGGCACCGAGCGTGGGGCGGGTGCCAGCTCTGGCTGGGAACCCCGCGGGGGCAGCATCGCCCTCATGACGCCTCCTCATGACGCCTCTGCTGTGACGGGTCCCACAGTTCCCCCGCCTGCTGTCCGGGCGCCACAGTGCAGCAGGGTGGGAGCCGCATGGGGCCTCGCTGGCCTGGTGGCCTTGAGCGGGCTGCGTAGCCTGTGCCTCTGTTTCCTCACGTGTCACCGGGACGTGGGACGTGGCGGCAGCCGCTTCCTCCTGGTGTGGAGGTGTCGGTGTCCCCGGGTGGAAACGTGTCCGTTTGCTGCTGGGACTCCGCCTCCCCAGCTGGTCCGGTGGCGTCGGCCACGTCGGTCGGGCTGGTCCTAGCGGCTCAGGTGAGCCGCTGCCCCTCCTGCCGGGACCAGGTGCTGCATGCGTCCCTGGGGCCCCAGCAGGGCTCCTCGGAAGTGTTGACCCTCCGTCCCTCCGACAGAGTTCCAGGGGGCTCTCCCGCAGGGTGGCCCTGGCGTGTGGCTGGCGCGTTAGGCCGGCCGCCCCCTGGCCCACGGGGCTTGGCGGGAGCGCCCACGGCTGGACGGTCTGTCGAGTGGACGCTGGCTTCCCGGTGCTCAGCCTCGAGCGGCTGGCCTCTCAGGACCCCTCTCGGGGGGACCTCTGAGCTAGGATTCCCACGGGAAGGGGGTCCCATCGGGAGCCGCTCCGGCCAGCGTGTCCCTCCAGGAACCCCCCTCCGCGGGCAGCTGTGCTCCCCTGGCCGCCGGGCCCCACGATCTCAAGGGTCCACTGTCCTGTGTCCCCTGGGTGTGCTCTGTTTTGTGGGGTTCCAGGTGATTTCCTGGGTCCAGACCGTTGGCTGAGAAGGTGGGGTGCCATCTCGCGTGATGCTTTGAGGGGAGGCTCCTGGCACACACCCCCCCCCCCCCAATGCAGAAGGATGGGTCTGTGCGTCAGTCTGGACATTAGGGTAAAGGTTGCGGGGTGTCTTCTCAAATGGGGAACAGCGGTTGGTCTGCCCTGCACCCTGTCCCTGGCCGTGGAGCAGGGGAGGGGGGGCTGCCTGGTGTCCGTCCGTCTGTCTGTCTGCAGCGAGCAGCCCCGTCCGGTGGTTCCCCGGGAATGGCCCACCTCCCGGGTCCAGCTCCTCCTCTGGAGCTGGGCTGGGCCCCTTGCCTCCTGGGGTTTCCCTGACGTGGGCGTCGCACTTGGGGGCAGCAGGTCACCGAGCGGCCCTCACCTCCGCCCCTGCCGCCCTCGGCCCGTGAGTCGCCGGCGCGGGCTGTGCCGTCGGTGCTGGGTGTCGGCGAGGCGGACGGGACGGACGGGAGGAAGCGTGACCCCAGCCCCAGACGGGCCACCGGCGCTTCCGGGCTGCACCAGACCGTCCGCGGGAGGTGCCCGTGCCGGCGCGGCCGGAGACTGTTACACAAGCAGCAATAGTGTGGCTCTCTCTAAGGATTGCGAAAGCGAGGGAGACCTCTGGCTGGAAGAATTGTGCAAGTCTCAACCGAAATGTTTTTTAAAAGTTTCTTTGTTTTGAGTCAAAACACAGCGGCTGGGTTATTTCCCTCCGATCAGTGAGAGCTGGAGGAGGAGGCGGTCCCCTCCCCTGGCAGCGCCGGGCGCGGGCGGCTCGCTGGGATGGCGGCCGGCGGCGAGATGGTGGCCGGGCACGCCTTGTGCCTGTGTACGGGCTCAGACGCGGGGGGCGGGCCAGACTCGCAGGAGGAACAGGAAGTCATTGCTTGGGAGCGTGTGGGGGTTGTGTCTGGCCGGCTGTTCGTGGGAACGGTGTGGCTCCGGCCCCCCCAGCCTCCGTCCTGACCTCGGGGGCGGGGCCCCAGGAAGAGCGGGTGGGGCTGGTTCAGGTGACGTCTGCTCAGGAAGCACCTGGTGGCGGGCGGGCGTGGAGCCGGGCCCCGAGAAAGGGGGACGGGCTCGCCAGGAGGACGGCTCTCCAGGAACCTGCCCTCCCCGCAGCCGGCCCCGTGGCCCCTGGCTGCGCCCGGCTGGCTGTCTCTCAGGGGCGTTGCTGGGACCCCGCCGAGGAGGGGCCAAGGGAGTTTCTGGGGCCCCCCAGCGCTGGGCGTCACCCCCACGTGTGTCTGCTTACTGCTGGCATGGAGGGCCCAGCCCTGGCCGGTTTGGCTCAGTGGGTAGAGCGTCCGGCCGCGTGAGCACTGAAGGGTCCCGGGTTTGATTCCGGTCAGAGACGCTACCTCTGTGGCAGGCCCTGGCATGAGGCAACTGCCCGGGGTGTCCCTCACCTCGATGCTTCTGTCTCCCCCGCTGTCCCCCGCTCTCTGAAGACCAGTGGGAAATGCCCTCAGCGAGGATCAACTACAAAATTACTCAATAAAATGAGGACCTGGACTCAGATACC